CTCTAGAGCACTTACACTGAGTGAAAAAAAGACAGTCTCAAAAGGTCACATTCTGTATGATGTCATTCATATAACATTCTTGAAAGACAAAATTGTAAAGATGGAAAACAGATTAGTGGCTGCCAGGGGTTAGGCTGGTATGGGGAAAGGAGAAGGTGTGGAACATGAGTAAGATTCTTTGTGGTGATGGAATAGTTCTTTATCTTGATTGCAATAATGGTTAAATGAAGCTACACATGTGATAAAATTGCACACTCGTTGGGGCACCTCAGTGGCTCAGTCGGTTAAGCAACTGCCTTTGGCTCAGGTCACAATCCCAGGGTCCTGGAATCGAGCCCTTCTTTGGGCTCCATACTCCACGGGGGGCCTGCTTCTCCCTCTCCCTGTGCCTGCCACTCCCCCTACTTGTGTGCTCTCTCTCTCTGTCAAACAAATACACAAAATCTTTAAAAAAATTGCACACACATTATACCAGTGTTAATTTCCTGGTTTTGATATTGTGCGATAGTATATAAAATGTAACCATTGAGAGAATCTGGGTGAAGGATACTCCTGACCTCTTTATACTATTTTTGCAACTTTTTATGAATCTATAATTATCTCAAAATAAATTTTTTTTAAAGATATAAGGATTAGAAAGGAAGAAATAAAATACCCTTACTTGTAGGTACATAGAAAACTAAAGACTTTACAAATCACTCAAATCAATAACAGAGTTTAGCAAGGTTTTTGGATGTAAGTTCAATAAACAAAGATATTTGTATTTTTCTTGACAACAAAAAGGGTAGAAAATGTACTTTTAGAGGTAGAGATATCACTTGCAATGGTAAAAAAATTAATAAATCTCAGATAATGAAAAGTTCTTTTTTTAAAGATTTTATTTATTTATTTATTTGAGAGAGAGAGAGAGAGAGGGAGAACACAGAGGGAAAGGGAGAGGGAGAAGCAGACTCCCCGCTAAGCAGAGAGCTGGATATGGCGCTTGTTCCCAGGACCCTGAGATCATGACCTGAACCAAAGGCAGACACTTAACCAACTGAGCCACCCAGGTGCCCCAGAAAATGAAAAGTTCTAAAAATGTTTTAAGTCACTAAAATTCTAAGTAAATGGACAGACATGTCAAACGTGTTCATAGATAGGAAGACTCAACAGTGTAAAGATGTTAATTCTCTCCAAATTGCAGTAGCAGCAAACAATTTATTTCTTGCTCCCATTACATGTGGGCTGCAGACAACTTGTAGCCTGCTTCTCCCTTTCCCTCTGCCTCTCCTTCTGCTTGTGCTCTCTCTGTCTCTCTCGAATAAATAAATAAAATCTTTAAAAAAATTGATGAAACAGCAAATTAACAAAAGAGAGAACAAGAATTTATTAAATATTAAAGATGTTCAATTGCACTGGTAATTAGGGAAAAACAAATCACAACCATAATAAGTAATAATTTCACACACACACAAACCAAAGAGGTAGAAGAAGGGGAACTTTAACACGTCGCTGATGGGAATGAGAATTGATACAACTGGTTTAGAAAACAGTTTGGTGAGGCACCTGGGTGGCTCAGTCAATTCATTGGCAGGCTCTTGATTTCGGCTTCTGTCATGATCTCAGGGTCATGAGATGGAGCCCTGGGTTGATGCTGAGCGTGGAGTCTGCTTGGGATCCTCTTTCTCCCACTCTCTCTGCCCCTCTCCCCCTCTCTCTCTGCCCCTCCCCTGCTCACACACTCTCTCTCTCAAATAAATAAATCTTTAAAAAAAACTCTGGCATTACCTAGTAAATTTGAACACATACATACCTTAAGACCCAACAATTCCACTTCTAGATAATAATCCTGAAAACTCTTACACACATGCATCGGGAGAAATATTTGAGTGTTCATAGCAACACTGTTTGCAACAGCAAAAACTGGAGCCAACCCAATGTCCAAAAGTAAGACTAGATAAATAAATTGTGGTATCTTCTTACAATGAAACACTATATAGCGGAGAAATTGAATAGCTGAATCTCAGAAACAGAATGCTGAGTGAGAAAAGCAAGATGCATAGGAAGAATGTAGAATGATTCTTTTTTTTTTTTAAGATTTGTTTATTTTAGTGAGAGAGAGAGAGAGAGCATGCCCACACACGCAGACTGCCTGCTGAGCACATAGCCCTACACGGGGCTCAGTCTCACAAACCCTGAGATCAGGACCTGAGCTGAAATCAGGAGTTGGCCACTTAACTGACTGAGCCACCTAGGTTCCTCCAGAATGATTCCATTTACAAAAAAGTTCAAAACTAGGCAAAACTGTGCGATGTTGTGTTTAGGGATATATATATTTGTGATAAGAGAATTATTAATACACACAGGCAACTTTTTTTTTTTTGGTTGTCAAATGATCCTTCATTGAAATATTTCCTTTGAAATATTTCCTTTGTCGTTTTTAACCAGCTGGGCATTTCATTGCACCACTGTTGATGTCATCTATGTCATGAGGGTGGCAGCCATCAACATTACAGCCCACAGACCAGGCAGTCTCTAGGATCTCTTTAATGGTTCCAGAGAGATCTCTGGCTAAGGATCAGTGCTGCATATGTTGGACAATGTTGACCATTTCATCAAAGGTGGTATTTCCACTGTGCTTCATGTTTTTCTGCTTCTTTCCGTCTCTTGGCAGTTCCTTGAGGGCTCTGATAATCAGGGCAGAGGCAGAAGGTACTACTTCAATCTGGGCCTGTCTGTCCTAAATAGTCAGTTTCACTGTAATCCTCAGATCCTTTCAATTACTGGTGCCAACCTTTTTGGGAGACAGAGCCAGGGAATCGATCTTGGGGGCCAGGTCAGACGTGGCACCGACTTCTCCACCAGTGCACCTCAGGCGTACAACTTTGGTCTCATTGGGGTCAAACTTAGATGGCATGGTGGACGCAGCTGGTGTCAGATGAACCTGGATTTGGGATGACTGAAGTGAGTTGCACCATCACCTGCTCCAAGCTGAAAGCCAAAAAAGATAATCCAAAATTTAGTATGGTGGTTTCCTCTAGAGGAGAAGGAGGATATGACCATGGGGAGGCACATGGAAGGTTTCCGGGGTAGAGAAGCCTTAGCAAGGGCAGTTTCAGGGAGTGGCAGGGTTAGAAGCTGGAATGGTGGGCTGAAGGATGAATTGAAGCTAATGACATGAAGGACAGCTAGTGCAGCCAACTCATTGAAGAAATGTTGCTGGCAATCAGAGCAGGTTATATTCTCAGAACGCAGGGAAAACTATCATTGGCAGAACAGACTTTTTTCTCATGAGGCAGAAAGAGGATGTAGTGAGGTGGATCTATGAGGCTGGCTTTGATTGAGCTGAATAGAGGTACAAGAATGGAACTGTAGGCTGGGAGTCTTCCTCACATAGAGGGAGGTTTAGAGTCTCTTTTCATTAGTTTTCCAAAGACTGTGTGCCCACTGGGAGATGAGCAAACAAGATCTCCAAGCAGCTCACCCACTGTCCGCTTTGGCTCCCATGAGGCCCCTCTGCCAGGAATTCCCACTAGGAATAATTACAGACCGGTTGGCTTCCAGGAGCATTCGCATGTTTTATGGGCCAGCTTTCTGTTCTTTTCAGCAGAATTAATGTGTGATTGCTCTGACTGCCCACAAATGTAACTTAAAACTCCATCTCATTTCGACTTTATGTTGGTGTTCTAAAAGCCTCCCAGAGGAAGGAAGCACTCTTTATTTCTGGAAGTTCATTCAGGGGAATGGCTAAGAAAACTGTTTAATCTGGAAACATATAAGAAAGAAATGATCAGGTTGAAAAGTCATGCATACATATCTTGACTTCGGGGGGTTCACCTGTAATTCATTGGTGACTGGCCTGGAGAGAAATCCAGAGCTACCAATGGGCAGGGAAAGGAAACGTGTCCTAACAGCTCTAGATGAAGAATGACAGGGATGGGAACAAACCTGAAGAGGGTCAAAGCACACTCGGGAGAGGTTTCACATCCTGCCAAGAAAAATTGCAGCTATGGCTATGGGGTGGGTTAGTTCTGAGATTGTAGAGGAAAACCAAGCTCTTACCCTTTCCTGGTGTGAGTTTGGATCTCTCCTACCTAATGCTCCCTGAAAGAGCGAGGGAGACAAATATATTAAGAAAACGGAGGAGATCATCACGTTTCTTTGCCTATGGAAGCCAGGCCTATTTCAAAACAGATCAGCAAAATCAGGTTCAAAATAAGCTTGTCCCAAACCTCAGGTAAGACTGAGACTCCATTCTAGGGTTCCATCTCCCCTTCCTGCTGTGTTTGGGCAGCAGTTAGCAGTCATGTTTCTTCAGAAGGCTGAATGAAGCTCCATTCATCCACGCATTCACTCGATAATACTTTATTGAATGCTATCTTCAGGGAACTCTTCTAGGTGCTGAAGAAGGAACTGAAAAACAGACAAAAACGGACCAAGTTAATGGTGTGTAAAGTGTGATTTGAATATAGGAGTCAGGAATGCTCAGTGCTTTTGTCTGTGTCATATGGGATGTTTCTGACAAGCTACTTACAGACAAGCTCTTTGCAATAGGGGCTTCCTTACCCTTTCCAGCTCTCTAATGAATCCGCCTCATTCATCACTGTTGAGCTCCCACTGAGCCATTCCAGTTAAGAGAACGAACGAAGAATATACTGAAATATCCATTTGGCCACGGGGTGAGGCATGCTTTTTTCCTAATTCCCTCCCCCGCCCCCCCCAGTAAACCTCCTGGCGACCCAAACCTTACCACACCGCAGCTCCCCTCCCTCCCAGTCTTCAGAAGGAGGCCTCCCGAGCGGACTAGGAAGGGACCCCGGCCCCAGCTGGGAGCGGCCTGCAGCTCAGGGACGGCCCCAGGGACTGCCCCAGGGCCTTCGGGCCCCACCTCCCACAGGTCCCCGCCATATCGGGCGCAGGCCGCTGCGGGGCGCTGCGGCCCCACTTTAGGAGCCGCGGCTGGGGCGGGGCCAGGGCCGTGCGGGCTTGCGGGCGCGGCGAGCTCGGCCACAGGTAACCTGCCCGAGCCGGGAGCGCAGCCTGGCGAGCGGGCGGCTGGAGGCGCGGCGCTGGGCGGCGCCGAGGCCCAGGGGCCGCCGGAGCCTGCGTGAACCCGTCCCGGTCGTCTCCCCTCGCCCCCCACCCTGTCACCGACAGCGGTCCCTGCGGCGCGGACGTCCGGTGCGCGAGAAAAAGGTACGGTGCGACCTCGCTGGGTTCCTTCGAGACCCCTCTTCGTCTGAGGGCCGACATCCCCCACTCCCGGGGGGCCTCCCGGCCGGGGAGGACGGAGTCGGAGGTGGGGGCGCTGCTCCCTCGGTGCCCCCAGGTCGCCGTCTGCTTGGGGGAGGAGACCCAGAGGGAGCGCGTTGCCCCCTCTCCTGCGGCCTCCGGAAAGCCGGGACCGGAGGGGGTCTTCCTGGGGCACCTCTCTTACCGCTTTGCTTCACTTGCCTCCCTAGAGTATAGAACTTTGGGTGGGGGTGGCGAACTTTGTCGTCTCGGCTTGTCCCCCTCCTCTTTCTCCAGTGAGCTCAGAGTTTGAAGAAAGTGGTGTGTGTGGGGGGGGGGGGGCGGGGGGTCCCCAGGTATTTCTCCCGGGTGCGGTGGGTGGTGGTCTGTGGGAGTAAAGGAGGGTCCCCTTGGGTCGTCTTGCGCTGTCCGCCGCCCCCGGGCCTGCGGGCCGGCCTCAGAGTGACCGGGTTAGGCTCGGACGCGCCAGCAGCCTGCCCCCGCCTCTTACCCCTTTGAGGACCGCAAAGGGGCGCAGACCCGGGAGGGTGGGGACTGGACTCCTGCCCCGGAGAGATCCGCCCTGGCTGGAATTAAGCTCTGTGAAGAGTTAGCAAGTGGCACCTCCCAGGGCCGGGGCAGAGGAAGCGAGGCACGTTGGTTTGAGTGCAGACACCAGTTTACCGACACTTGTCTTGGGGATTTAAGTGTGGTGCTTCCGGTAGATTTGGGGAGCGTGAGGGGAAGTGTGGAGCATTATTTGTGACAGGAGAGGGGCTTGAATTTCATAAAGCTGGTCAAGAATGTTTTCCCTGCAGCACAGTGAGATGATAGTTGAATGGTGGAGATCTGCTTTGGGGTTATGAGACTGTCTTGGTTCCACCACTTGTTAGGTGGGTGACTTTGGCAAGTCCACTTTTTTCCTTCCTTCCTTCCTTCGCTCCTTCTGCTAGTCAAGTGAATCAGTGGGAGTGGAGAAGGAACAAAGAAATCCGTAACTGACTGTGACCAATTAATTGTAAACAGCACTGCGCTTGGACCAGCCTGGAAAACCCATGTCGTTAAACTTCGTTTTTAAAACTGTAGACTGAGTGTGTTAGACATAATTCAATAGTATCGTGGAAATTAAATGAAATGATGCAAGTAAAATGCTTGTCATGGTGCTCTTGAATGTTAGGCATCCTTTTTGTGAACCTCTTGGATGACAATATTCATTCATGTTTAGGTCATGTCTACTAGGCCAGTGTAAGTGGAAAGAACTTGGCAATGAAGACAAGCACACCCGGATCCACAGTAGTGCACAAGTACACTGATTGTCTTTGAGGAGTTATTTCCCATCCCTAGAATAGCAGTAGCAACCTGTTGTTCTTGCATGTAGGAGGTGAAACCATACATGTTTAACTTCCTTCTGCCATCCCTAGCAGGTGCTTAGCATATGGCAAATGAATTTTTTTTTTAAATTAGGGATATAAATTAAAATTGGAAGAGTTTTCTGCCCTTTTGGTCATAAGTGGGGAGGGGAGATTTGGAGAGGGTGAAGAATAAGACACCATAAAACAACTAGCTGTACATTGTTGGAAGGTATGAACCAAGGGTGATAAAGAAATGCTTACTTAATGGGGCGCCTGGCTGGCTCAGTCAGGGGAGCATATGACTCTTGATCTCAGGGTTGTGAGTGGGAACCCTACACTGGGTAGAGATTACTTAAATAAAAGCATAAATGTATATTTTTTAAGAGAAAAAAATACATATATTAAGAGAGATGTTCATTTGTTAACTCCTTGTTTTTCAGTGATTGTACCAAAAATTAACCTTAACTTCCCATTTAAACCTGTCAGCGTCTCCAGAGCCCTCTGGCTAAGCATTTACTCCCAAGTAAAGGCTAAGGGCTAGTGATTCAACTCAGCATAGAGACAATGCATACTTTCAACTCCGGAGGACTTACCATATAGAAATTCAGGTGTCCCTATCCCTACTGTGAAATATACCTGCACAAAGTATCAAACTACACTTTCAATGTAAAGAATAAGAATAGAACCCACACACTCAAGTACCCATCACCCAGCTGAAGAACTAGAGCATCCCCAGGACCTTGGAGCCCCCCAGTAACTCTCCTCATGGCATTCCAGCCCTCCTTCCTGCAAGTAACCATTGGTTGGACTTGTGTTAATTTTTTTCCCTGGCTTTCACACATCATATGCTACGTAAATAGCTCTGTGAAAGGGAAGTTTCCAAACAAGCATTTCCACAATAACCTGGAGCATTCTTATTTGAACTTAAAAGCAGGATATTGAGAGTGGGATGCAAACCACAAAAAAAGCTGACAGTCTCAAAGTACTGGGGTGAGCCAGTCTGTCTTTCCAAGGTTTTCCCCAGGTTTCCTTGGCACAGGCTCTTGCGGGCGTGTTCTGTCTGTACAGGGGAGGCCCAGTCTCTTCCAACATAGCTTGGAGGCTATAATTTTTAAAAGCTTTGATTGAGTCCCTAAGAATGAGAAAAACAGTAATTTGTGTGCATGTGTTTTAGAAGTTCTTTTTTTAAATACAAATTATCTAGGGGAACATTGTGTGGGATTTGAAGGATCAAGCCCACAGAGAGAGCAACCTTTAAAAATGGTTTTTAATCCAAATTCTTCTTTTCCTGGTTATTATGTTTGTGTTTTGGACTTTGTTTTGAGTTCCTTTTGCAGGGTCACACAGCGCTCCCCGGAGAATCTTGCACAACTCCATCACTTCTTGATTAGACAAAAGATTCCTAAATTTGGTTCATGGCTCCCTTAGTAATTTAGTAATTTTTTCACAGTGCCCCTAATTTTAAGTAGTTCGTCATAGTAAGGTTCAAACAACTTATTAAGTATTCATGTCCTAACAACATAGAAGTTATTTTTAGAAAAATAGTACATATAAACTGAGAGAAAAAATATTGTTATATCATTCTTAAATAACTCCAATTACAAGCAGGATGTGTGTGCCTCTACTAATTCCTAAATCTTGGGATTAAATTGGATACCACCACTCTCATTTCCTGTTCCACATTAATTTTTTTGTAGCACTTGCTTTTTATCACAGCATTCACTGAAAACCCAGGTTTTGCAAAGATGTGTATGATGTCATTGATAGGAGTGTAATGTGATCTAACATTGAAACTGAATTCTGGTTTGTAGATTCAGCATTTTCCAATGTGTTGAATACACTGTGTTTACCTCAGAACTTTGAAATAACCTAAGTTGCCCTTGTGAATTTGCTGCAGTATCCAGAGTGCCTTGGTGCTCAGTTTGGGCATTTTTGGTCTAAGGTAAAACCCTCTTCTGGGGAGAGAGCAGTTATTAAAGAAGGGGTCTGTCTGCCTGAAGTAGCCCCAGGTTAAGTTACTGTGTGGAGTGGGCTAAATCTTGGTTTCTCCTCTACATAAAGTGGAATGGCGAAAGCCTGCCTCTGAGCGTCATTGAGAGGATTAAACTAGATAATGTACATAAAAGCATCTCTAAAGGCCCTGGAATATAACAGTCTCAAGAAATGATAGCTCTTTTATAATTGTTAAATAGTACTAAATAGTCCAGTAATAGGTAAATATATCATAGTCCCTATTTTAAGAATAGCCAGTACAAAAAAAAAAAGTCAGTGCTTAAAATCTCAATCTTAGCAAATAAATTATGAAGTAGTTGGTTCACAAAATAAAGTGATTTATCATTTTTCAAACAGCAAACTCTGGTGTACCATTGTGATACATTTTGACTTTGCAGACCCATCTCTGGAATGTTCATTTTCATTTGCCAGCATGTGTCCAGGTTTGAGGAGGAAATCATAACTGATTGGAGGGAGAAGTCCTGAACTTGGACAAGTAGATTTCTGATTTCAGGAGGGAAGTACTTTGTGTTAGGTCTCGGGAAATTTGGACATGGCTTTGTAGGGGCCCAGGGCAGGCTGCCCCAAAATGTGCCTCTTTGGCATAAAGATTATTTCCAGTTAAGAGTAACAAATCCAGCAGATGCAGCAAAGCTGCTTTGCCTCCCCATAACTGCCTAAATTTACATTGGAAAGGAGAGACTGCAACAGGAAGAGAAGTATTAACAGGGGCCCCCTTTAGGAACTCATCTGCATAATAGAACATCTTGTTTTTCCAAACATCTTTCTCCTTCTGGCTGATGAATTTTCTTCTGTGTGTCCTCAGGCCCCTACCTTTTTCCTTAGCTCACGTAAGCTTCAAATTGCCTCATTGTCTTTGGAATCTCTTGTCTGTGTGGATTCCCCCTAAATATGCCTATTAAATTTGATCTTCTCCTGTTAACCTGTCTTTTGTCAATTTGATTCTAAGTCCAGCTAGAAGGACTACAGGGCAGAGGAAGGTCTTCCTCCCGGATTGGTTACAAACCTGCAAATGTTTCAAGTAGGGTTTAAATTTTGCATCTGCTGGGCGCCTGGGTGGCTCAGATGGTTAAGCGTCTGCCTTTGGCTCAGGTCATGATCCGAGGGTCCTGGGATCGAGTTCGCATTGGGCTCCCTGCTCCTTGGGAGCCTGCTTCTCCCTCTGCCTCTCTCTCTCTCTCTCTCTCTCTGTCTCTGTCTCTCATGAATAAGTAAATAAAATCTTTAAAAATAAATAAATAAATAAATTTTGCATCTGCTTACAGCATAGAGAGGCAGACAATCTTTTCAGATGAAATAATTTTATTAAACTTATTAGCATCATATGATAATTCCCATCAATAAGTGATACTTACTAATCCTCCAAGGAAAGGCTGATTTGAATAAAGACGTCATACATGGCTGTCATGGTGTCTTTTAGGAAGCAGAGACCTTTACTCCCTTGTCCTGTTCATTTTCCAGAACCCAAGCCTAATTTAGAAGCTGGTGATATCTGGACAATTTGTGAGAATACATTCAATAGTGATATTTCTAGTGTAGTTTTTTATTTTTATTATTGCTTGCTTTGGTCATTTATCGTTGAGCAACCTGTACAGAACC